ATCGATAACTTGAGTTCCTAATTCGTACGAAACTATACTTAGCATTTTGACATCACAAATATCTAATTTGAACCAGTGCTGCATTCAACATACCACATGACACACAAACATCGATGTTTAACTGCATTTTTTTTAATATTTACTTTTAAATTAAGAAATTGAGTAAGGTATAATACTAAAATTTGAATTATAATCTACAGTTTGATTACCAAACTTATTGACATAAATTCATGAAATAGTGGTTCAGTAAAATCTTGAATGCGAGTCAATAAATGAGATGACATGGCCTTTCACCTGTGACCAGCCTGGAAAGCTTTAATTCAAAATAAATCACAATTCATTGTGTTATGAAGTGTATAAACTTATTAGTTGGATATATTCTGACCAATTTTGTGCGTAAAGTTTCTTAAACAATACAACAAAAAAACTAACTTTAATTTACATTAAATCTTCCTGTATTATATCACAAACAGAGATTGTTCTTACAGTTGTTGAAGATCTGTGCATTACATATATGCATATTTTTTATTGTACTTTAATTGTGTGGGCTCAGTACTCACTAAACCTATCTAAGCTTACTTGGTATCTTGTCATAGAAGAAAATAATACAAACATTTTAAGGAATGAAAAGAATGTCAAAAGAAACCATGAGAAAAATTCCAAAGTTTGTGATTTGTTCTTAAACTTTCCATTAGTCCACTGTTCGTCCATGTAGGAGCTCTGTCAGGTCACTTTGCTACAAAAACAACAAATTTTGCTCAAACCACTTTATAATCTGCTCTGTAAAATTATACTTATATGTTTCCAGTTGTTTAGATCACGTGATGTGATGTAAAGAAGATGAGAACAAAGCCTTTAGCAATAAAATCACATGAAAAAAAGACATAGTTAATCATATTCTCAAGAGATATTAGTTTCTCAGGAAGCATAAATATGTTTTTTGGGATATGTAGAAAAAAGTATAATAAAAGCATAAAGCACATTGTACAGAAATGATGGTATAGTTTTTCATTTTTCTTTGCAGATTGCACTATATAAATGTTGGAAAATTACAAAATATCAGTTATGTATTGTAAATTAAGCATTTATATTTAATTATTACTCGATATAACATCATATTACACTGTTATATGCATATTTCAGAACTTTCTATTTTTGCAGTATGCAATTTTTAAATTTAACTGCAATTCCTGATAAAATACATATATTCTATTAACCATAAACTTATCAGTTGGATTTATTCTGACAAACTTTAAAGGTAAAATATCATAAAGCATAAAGTAAAAGGAAAAGCAAATCAAACAGTGAAAAGAATGTGAATTAGTTGTTATTTCATAATGATTAATATTATAAAATTTTAATGCAGCTGTAAAAATACTCCTGTTAAGTAAGTTAACTTGAAACTGTGTATATGTATTAATTGATAAGGATGAGTTAGAAATTTGCTGGTTTGCAAGTTCTTCTAAATGACAGTAAAACTTAGTTAAAATGAAATAATAAATAATTGGTGTTCAAAATGAATAAACAATATTGTGTTATTAATTATTTACCCTAAAAATTTGATGTATAGGTTACTTTGATAAAATTGATAATAATTACAATTCACTTACTTAATCTAGTTCACGCCATAACAGACGTTTTCCATGAAAATTGATATAATTAATGCTTAGATCACTACTATATCTATTGCATCCCACCTGGCTTCATGAACCCTGGTATTGGGTGAAAGGTCTTGTTGGCACTGGATATGCCAGATGTAGTGCAATATGAAATGGTTTTTGTTTTTTTGTGTTTTTTATCCTAATTTTGTTTATAATCCTGCTGTACCAAAAAAATAAGTTATTGCAGTAATTAGCATAAACTTTAAAATAAAAGACAATATAATTTGATGTATTGAAAGTTATAGACTTAATTAAATCATATTTTAAGATTAATTCTTGTGTGTAATTAAATTTGAAAAATTTATAATCATTGACAGAAATTATTTAAATTTTTAACTCAAAGTATACCCATTCTAGTCAAAGTATTATTTTTTTATTTATTTAGATTTATAGTGGTAAAGTGACCAATATCATGCAGTTTGGATGTTTTGTTCAACTTGACGGGTTGAGGAAGAGGTGGGAGGGGCTGGTCCACATATCACAGGTAGGAATCTTTGGAACTTGTCCATCATTTATGTTTATGTACAACATAATTTAGCGTTAACTATTCTCATTTTAAATTTTGTAAATTATTTTGTTGTGCATCACATTCTCTTTCCTATTAGATACATCTGAATATTTCATAGTAAATGTTATTATTTTTTTTCAAATTCCAGCATCAGTAAAAAAAACTAATTGTTGTTGTTAGATGAATTTAATGTAAAAGTCCAACTGTAAATGCTGCAAGTAATAATTAAAAAAAATTTTAAATCACTTTTTTCTGTAATATATTGGTTTACTGGCTAATAATGAAATTTCTGAAATGAATGTAAATTACATATTCATTATTGTATTAATTTTTCAGCTGTCCAAATATCATGTTATGTGAACAGCAAGATACCTAATAAAATTTACTTGAATGAAGTGAATACCAAAGTTGTAGCTGCATATATAAGCACTTGAACATTTTCTGTGATTAGCTTTGTCTTCTCAGCCCCTGTTGGACCAAATCTGACAAGTTATAAGTGTAATGTTAATCTTAGTCTTCAGTAGATGTTAAACTTTCTCGAGTTCTATTCTTGGTTAACCTAGATTAATGTAACTATTTCTGACCTTACAGCTTCGGCGAGAAGGACGTGTTACAAATGTTGGTGATGTTGTACAACGTGGACAGAGAGTTAAAGTAAAGGTTTTATCTTTCACTGGGCAGAAAACAAGTTTATCATTAAAGGTATGCATTTTTGGTAATAAAATTGTTTTGCTGGTGAACATAAGATAAATTTTACTGCTTTGAAAACAGACAAGGGCCTCAGATGGAACAATAGTATTGTTGGATATACATGACTGTTTAGTTTGAGTTATCATTTAGATTATTTAGTGATTCAGTATTTAATGATTATTTAGTTTTTATAATAAGAGCGTTAAAATATAATTATTTTAAAAGCAATAGTTATGATAAGTTTCATTAGATAATTCTGTACGAGTTGTACATTGTGTATACAGTTTAATCATTGTACTAGGCTTTTGTAATATTGTTGATGTCATTTTACTCGAAGCATCTAAGTTTTTCTCGTTATGTGAATATTGTTGTCACTAGAAGGCTAGATCTTTCTTTCACGTGTTATAAATACGTGCAGATACAGAGTGCAAGTAAGAAGTTAAAGTAAGTTAGTGAAAGTAAAAGTGAAAAAGTGTAGATAGATTGTGTGATTGTCAGTTTAGTCATAATGAGTGATTTCTAAAGTGAAAGTTTCACAGTTTGTAATGTAACAACAAAGACATAGAAGAAATAATTTGTCTTGTCAATTGGGTTCTAAAGTAATTGAACTAGCTAAGTGGTCCTCTGACATGAACGAGAATTATTTAAAAGCTCTGGATCCAATTGATTGTATTGTTATAATAGAAGAGAGAAGAAATAATTTACCTTGTCAATTTGGTTCTAAAGTAATTGAACTAGCTGTGTGGACTTTTCTCGTAAAAGAGAAGTAACTAAAGCTCTGGATACAATTGTGGTAAACAGTAATGTAACAGATTATTTTGTACATATTATTTTTTACTTATGTATACTTAAATTCTACTAATTTATTCACAAATATATCAAAACATGATTTGTGTAGCAGTTTATTCATCTTGTTTAATAACGTAGTAGAAAACATGTCTATAAAAAGAAAAAGAATTGGTTACTGTGTTATAAATTAACAGTAATAAGGTGGGTAACTTAATTTCTAGTTATAAGGTTTTTTATATTGCACTTTAATTTTTTTTATGTATTAAGATAAAATATTCTCTAAACAAATTAAAAATTAAATATTTTGTTAGTATAAATAACAAAATGTTAGATTTGTTAAAAAAAACAACTGATAATTATAAGTTAGAATGTATGTGCAGGATGTAGACCAAGAAACTGGAGAAGATCTTAATCCTGTACGATCCAAAGGATCAATGAACAGTGATGATTCTGAGGAGGAGTCACTAAGAAATCCTGATCGTCCATCAAGTCTACCTTTGATCACCAAGCGAGATGATGATGACATGGATAACAGGAGGAGAGTTCAAAGAATATCTTCCCCTGAAAAGTGGGAAATTAAACAAGTGAGTTTCTGCTCTATCATGATATCATACAACATTTTAGAAGTCTGTAACCTTTACCCTAACCGGTCAGTTGAAACATTTCTTTCATCTCATGTTTTTGGTGTGCCAAACCATAAAGATAGAAGACAAGGAACACCCTGGCCACTAGCCATGTTGGACTTGGTGATCGTACCATACAGTTTGCAAATAAGATTCCAAAATGAGTAAAATTCTGGTGATTAAAGATATTTGGGAAAAGGACAATAAATTTTTCATACATCTTTCATAAATTAAACAATATGGAAACTGTACGATGAACAAAATTTTTTTATCCTTCACATTAACATCACCTTGCACTCCAACTTGTTGGATACTGAGTCAGACCGATGTTGTCAATTCACAAACTATCTTGAGTATAAATAATTTTCTAACACATCTAATTTTTGGAGTACAACATAGTTCTACATTTTACTAAACGTTTGCCACATTTCAGATAGATATCGTAAAATATATAGTAAATTTAGTTTGATGATAATGTAATAAATTAACGGAGTGATCAGTATTAAAATGTGTTCTTTCCTTCTTCTAATAAAGAAATAAATGCATAACTTGTATGTAATATACAGATGATAGATAAGTGGTTATATATTATTGTAAATAATTACATATTATTCTTAATTACAGCATCAATCATTTTGTCACAGCTTATAGTTACCAACCTTGGCTAATAGAAATTCAATTTGACTAACCCATTGGCCAGTGATTAAATAAAAATCCATTGCTCTCCCAGAAAGATCATCTTTGTGTGCTAGTTATTACATATAATCCTCTGAAGAATTGTAACTTAAAAACATTATTCAAGTTAAAGAATGCTTGTTGTTACAATGAATTTACTACTGGGAACTGAGTACAACTAATTTTTTCATATTTCTCTTCTATTTTTTGTAACAAACTGAATTTGATGCTCTCATGAGTCAAAAGTGATTTGTTTATTTACATTTTTTAGATATACCCCAAGAGAGTGTTATATTTTATTAATGGTTTCGTCTCATGTTTTCACAGATGATGTCTGCCAACTGTATAGACAAGTCTGAGCTACCAGATTTTGATGAGAGTACAGGACTTTTACCAAAAGATGAAGATGATGGTAAGGAAATTTTTATTGGATAACAAAATCTATTTTTGAACTAACTTAAAATGGCAATGTCTGTTTCATTAATTCTTTTAGCCAAGGTTTATAATCCTCTTAAAATGTAAAGATCCTGGGGTTGATGTTAAATGACTGTTTGACTGTTGTGTACAGGTACTTTCTTGGTCCAGCCATGTTACTCATACTTAAAACCTGTCTGATGGGACAGGTACTTTCTTGGTCCATCTATGTTACTCGTACTTAAAACCTGTCTGATTGGACAGGTACTTTCTTGGTCCATCTATGTTACTCGTACTTAAAACCTGTCTGATTGGACAGGTACTTCCTTGGTCCATCTATTTTACTCGTACTTAAAACCTGTCTGATGGGACAGGTACTTCCTTGGTCCATCTATATTACTCATACATAAAACCCGTCTGATGGGACAGATACTTCCTTGGTCCAGCCATTTGACTAACACAAAACCTGTCTGAGAGGATAGGTATTTTCTTTGTTCATACATGTGACTCCCACAAAACCTGTCTGATAGGACACGTACATATATATATATATATATATATAGTTTTTGTCTGAAATTTAAACCATTTTTAGTTTATGCCTGTTTTTGTTTTTTTCAGATGAAGATATCGAGATTGAGATGGTTGAAGAAGAACCACCTTTTCTTCATGGCCATGGAAGGGCTAATGTCCAAGACCTCAGTCCTGTTAGGATTGTAAAGGTACGTTTTTGTTTATCATCATAATCATGATCTATAAAAAGGCTATAAAGATTAGTTCTGTAGTTTAGAAAGAAATATAGTGGTTGTAAACAATAAAATATGGTAAATCATTGTTATTCAACTGTAATAATATTTGGCTTTTCATTTCCATGATATAAAACATGGTTGCAGAGTGTATCATTTTTATATAACGTTATATAATGTTTTGTAACTGATATTTCTTTATGTTTCTATAAATCTGAATTGTTAGCTATTGTGAGTAAAAACTTGTGTTTGTAAAATTTTTCTTTTTTTTATCCACGATGTTTTACATGTTTTAAGTTTTTTCTTATGGAGGCCAAATCTTGATAGACTTTATCATTATCATAATACTACTGCAGAGCAGAATAACAGAAATATGAGAGCCTTACAACAATAATATCTATCATAATACTACTGCAGAGCAGAATAACAGAAATATGAGAGCCTTACAACAATAAAGTCTATCATAATACTACAGAATAACAGAAATATGAGAGCCTTACAACAATAAAGTTTTTTCTAACAAAAGCATTTCAAAACAACCTGAGACATTATACAAATACTAACTCCAATTACATAATTATTTTTCAAGCACAAGCTACACGCATGTATATAGTGTGCACCAAATTTCATATAAATAGGTTAAACAATTTAGGTGTGAGAACAAAACAAACAGGGATAACATTCTTTCACCCAGCCCACTAGGATAGGGTTGAAATGTTCTAATTTTAATACTGTAAAGTATAGGTTTAGTATATGTTCATAACTTGAATTAAGAAAAATAATAACTGACTGTACATGGGCAAAACTGTGGTGTAAGATTTAGAATAAGAAAAATGTATGGAACATGCTATAAGTGAAGATCATGACACTATCTCTCTTTCTTTTGCATGGACAATAAAATTTTAATGTAACTGTACTATTACATAGGTAGTTCTTTTCTAACACTTAAAAGTATTTCATCTGCACTAGTTTAGCAAAACCAGCATGATTTTGCTGGTTTTTCCCACACAAAGAATAACTAAACAAAAAAATTACACCATGAAAACAATTTGATGAAGATTGTGAGAAGTCAACGTATTATGAAATCAACACTCAGGCAGTCCAATTCGTTCTAACACAAGAACCAAATCAATCTTTTAAAATGCTGAGAAATAAAAAAAACACTAATTAAGTGTGAAGATTTTGACCAAATGTATGCTGGTTCAGAATTCCAATAAAGCATGCTTCAAATTATAAAGTAGATCAGAAGAAAAATTATTATCTTGGCTAGAAGAGTATATATACATACACTAAAAATAAATATGTAAAAAAAATCAATTGTAGAAAAGTGTGAAGTAATACTATTGCAGAGCTTTTAAAAACACTAATTTTATTCCTTTCATGATTTGTAATAGGTACTTTCTTTGTATGTAAGAGCTTGTATGAACAAGTGAAAAATTAACATACTGTTATTAGAACAATACATCTACAACAGTTATTGTTTTATTGAAAAAATAATTACTGATGTATTTAAATGAATTTAGGTACACAGTAAAAAAAACTATAGGATGTAACGAAATATCTTTTTCGTGTTTTAAAAACACTAATTTTATTCCTTTCATGATTTGTAATAGGCACTTTCTTTGTATGAACAAGTGAAAAATTAATATACTGTTATTAGAACAATACATTAGAAAATTAGCCCTGATTGAATATAAGTATAGGAACTTTCTGATCAATAATATTATTATTGATCAGAAAGTTCCTATACTTATATTCAATTAGGGCTAATTTTCATTATTTACGTTTGTTATTTATTTCTATCTATTGAAGCAGTCATGTATCCACGAAAATAACATAAAACACCACTGATCAGTAAAAACATTGACCTGTAGAAACAACTTTCATACACATAGTGGGCAGAACACAAATAACCCTTTGTGAAGTTTCGTGTTTAATATCAAACAACAGCAACATCATTTTACCCCACATTAGTGATTTAGCAACAGTTTGTGGTAGAGCAGAGTAAATACCAGATCTAATGTACAGGGACACTGAACAACTTGTAGATGTGTATTTTGGAGGTTCTGCAGGTTACGCAATGCAATATTCAAACTGTGTGTTTATTCATCACTTATCAGAGTATGTGTTAGACTGATGTCGGCAGTTCATACACATACTTTGAGTACAACTATGCTTGTAACAGTTACTAGTCATTATAAATCATTACATCTCAGTAAAGGTTAAATATCGGGTATTTAGTAAGGTTGAATTTGTTTTAAGTTTTGCTTTGTTTTACGTGCTACACTATTCTAAGTATGT